CTAAATTTACAGATGAGGAAACTGAGACCCAGAGAGATGGGGGGATCCACCCAAGTTCACACCAAAGTTCAGCCCCAAGTTGGCCTCTACCCTCTTCCCACTATCCCACACTGCCTCCTGCAAGGGACTATAATCGGACTTAGGTTTATTTCTTTTCTTTTGGTTATCATTTTTAATTTGTATAGTCATATTATCATCTAAGCAGAAAGTGAATTAAAAATTTATTTCATGGCAATATAAAATTGACAGGCCAGGATGTTAGTGTATGCAATCTGTTTTTAATTAGGAAGTTGATGTGGTATTCAACAAATTAATTAAATGATTCTTGGGTTCTTAAATTTTTGCTTAATATCTTTATGCATATATACAACTTTATGTATCTGCATAAAACTGTGTGCACTTCTTTTTCCTTTCCTGTTTTTCTTGGATCCCCTCTTCTCCTCTGTCCCACCCCCACTCAGATCAGCCTCCCACCCCACCCCAAGGGAGTCTATGTTAATAATCTCATATGTGTTCTTTGGTATATTTGGTGCTCGTGTAACCACACACACACATACATGCGTTTACATAAAGGAGGGAAGAGGGATGGTTATTGTTTATTTCACACAAGTGAAATCAATTCACTTCTGTACTTCTCCACATTGTACATTTCTCTCTCCCAATATCTTGAGGAATCCTCCTTGCCATCTGACACAGCTCCAATTTATTGATTGTGACGGCTGGTTAATACTCCACGGGAGGAGTGGGCCATGATTTATTCAAGCCTTCCACTATCTACAGAAAAGTTGCTTTCCATCTTCTGCCACTACAAATAATGAAGCAGTAAATATCCTCACACATATGCCCTTTCAGACCGATCTTTTATTTCCATTAATTTAACATCAGATGATGCCCCTTAAATAATTTGAAAATCATCTTTGCTGTATACTCACATGTAACGAAGCTGGGACAGAGTCTGGGAGAATAAAAACTTCGGGGACAGAACAATGGATGAATGTTTTCCTTTTCTATATTTCCTTTTATGTCGTCACACTATTTGTATGGTAGATAAAAGCTGGAAAGAACAAGATATGTGTGTTTTATGTGTCACCACCCTATCATCGTAGGAGAAAGAGGGACCCTTACAACACGAAGTGTGTCAACAGGGGGTGACGTCAGAAAAGGGGTCTCTTTCTGAATAGCTGCCACTGTTGCTTTAACACTTCTCAATCTGCTCAAACCCCTTCAGGGGTCTTAGATTGTTGGGGAAGACGGGACGCAGAGCTCTATCTGCCCATGGTGGGGACCCAGACAGCACATTAGAGGAAGAGCCAGGTGAGGAACTCCACTTGCTTGGTGCCTCAGCTCTCTCTGGTGGGGCTCTGTCCCTCCAGGGCTCAGGAAGATCTTTGCTTTCTCTTCCGTGCCAGCGTGTCAATATACCTGCCCATGGAGCTGCCTTATGCCAACAGGATGAGAGGCACATGGAACCCAAAGAAGCCTGCCCTCAAGAAACTTGCTTCAAGAAGGTTCCATGGAGACCTGAACGCACAGAGACTTCTACAGCAGACCTCCGAGGCTTGACTCCACAAGTCTTCACTAAGTGTCCCTTAGGCACTGGGTACTATCTAAGGGTTGGTGGGGACAAGCAAAACAAACAGTTTCATTGGTGTTTATCTTTCAGGGAGCAGTGAGAAAGCCTTAAACAACACGCCACAGCAGTGGGAAGATAAGCCTAAGAAATTGCTTATCTCAGACTTTAGGAGGGACACTGGGCTTCTTCTAGCTCTCAGAAACAATGGGCCCAAAGAAAGCAAAATTTACAAGCTCGCCGCTCAGTCATTGACATCAGCAGACACGCTTTATAGGCCATCATTAATTCTCACTCTAGTCATTGTTTTAGCACTTTATGCAATTATCTAAAACAATATTTCACAAACTTTGAAGTAACTCAAGCACAAGGAATGTGAGGGTGTGTTCAAAAAGGACAAGTTACAAAGAACACTGGGAGTACTCTGTCCGACTCCCATCTCAGGGGCCAGCATCTTAGGAAGTGGGGAAGACCAGCCACAGCAAAATAAAGTCTGATCGGGGACTTGAATCCCGGCTTGCAAAATCCAGGCAGCAAGCCATTTCCAGATGGAAAAAACCGGTATCCTTATTGAAGGGGAAACTCACATTTCTGCATAACACTATTCTTCTATTTAAAAGGGGCTCGTGTTTTGTTTCCGCATGATACAGCAATCAACAGGAGAAACGTGATTCCTGCTCTCAGGGAATTTTACTAACTAGGTGTGAGACCTCAAGGAAGTTTTTTTTTTCTCCTTAATTTCTCTAAAATTCAGTTTCCTCATCTGTCAAGTAGAGGCTTTTCTTGTGGAGCTTCCCAAGGATGCATTGATTGGAGGTATGCACTCGGAAGACACTGGGACAGACACCTTTCAAATAGCTCCCCTCACCCGGGTAGATGGTATTCCATGTCCTCCGTTCTGACATCTCATTAATGAACAACTCATGAATGTGCGCGCCAGCCCAGGAGTTATTCAGCAACCGAGGCCAGGATTAAGTCTGTATATAAGGGTCCTTCCATAACATCAGCTTTAAAAGTGACAGACAAATCAATTTACCAAAGAAGTTTTAAGAGATATTATTCAAAGTTAGCGAGCATGTTTTGAAATAGGCACTCCCATTCCCTGCGGGCAATATATGCAAATTGACACCACTTCTCTATAAATCAATTTGGCCATCTAAATCAAGCACCTTAAAACATTTGTATCTTCTCACTTAGTAATTATACTTCTGGGAATTTAGCCTAAGGAAATAATCCAAAATATCTGTAAGAGCTTTATGCAGAACAATGATGCTCATTTCTGCATTGTTTTCAATGGCAACCAAAGAAGAAAGAAACAGTAGAAACAGCATTTAAAAGTGCATAACACTTTTAATAGCACAGGAAAGTGTTTCTCTTATAACATTAATAAAAAGTTGAATGCAAAATGGTATAGACATTCGGTGTAATTGTAATTATAACTTGTAATATATATCAATATATTTCATTTATATATATTAATGATGGGGATATGCTCTGAGAAATGTGTCATTAGGAGATGTTGTCACTGTGTGAACATCAAAGTGTACTCACAGTAACCTAGATGCTACAACCTCCCACACACTAGGCTACGTGGTGAAGCCTGCTGCTCCCAGGCTACAGACCCGCACAGCACATTACTGTACCGAGCACTGAAGGCCGTTGTATCACAGTGGCAAGGATCTGTGTATCTAAATGTATCTAAACATAGAAAAGGTACAGTGAAAATATGATATCATAATCTTATGGCACCATCATCGTATTTATAGCCCATAGTTATGCAGCCCATGGCTGTATATATTCTGTATGTACTATATGAGAAAGAAACGCGCAAAAATGTTACCAGTGGTTACCTTTGGGTATCGAAATTTAGGGTTCAGTCTGATTCATTGGCTCACCCTCTGGCCCTGGGGACAGGATTGGTGACCAGAAATAGGGAAACGTTTGCTGAACAACCAACAGTGATTGTCCATTGAGGCGTAAACACTACAGTAATGAATCAGGCTCGGCAACCTGGAAAGACGAATATCATTTTATCATGTAAAGCAGGGGCTTTGGGTTAAACTGGCAGGTTAAACATGCAGTTTATCTCCACCTCCTAAACACAACTAAAATTACTGCAAATGGATAAAATCCATTTTGACAAAGAGAGCAGGAGATCAGATTATAGCAACAAAATTTTGGAAGGTGGGAAACAGACACAAAGAAAACTCAGTGCTTGCCCAGGGAGAAGCCACGACGCAAGCAGATTCGCACATCAGAAACCTGGAAAGGCTCTGGCCTGGGAGGCACCAGGTACCTCTGAAGGTCTGGGCAAGTGAGCTAGAAACAGGAGGACAGGTTAGAAGCAGGGATGGGACAGGCACAGTGGCTTATGCTTGTAATCCCAGCACTTTGGAAGACTGAGGTGGGAGGATTGCTTGAGGCCAGGAGTTCGAGACCAGCCTAGGCAACATAGTGAGACCCTGTTTCTATGAAAAATTTTTTTAAAAAAAGCAAGAGGCCTCCATACTTTCTCTCTCTCCCCATCTGCCTGATGCCAATCACTCCTTCTTTACCCCAGAGAAACTAGAGGTTTACACTGGAGAATTCACCCAGAGGGACTCTGAACCCTGAGACACCAAGCATGGCCAAGGGCAGACGTAATAAACTGAAATCAATCAGTTAGCGGATTAGCTGAGACTGAGACCCTCTCAGTCCCCTTCCCCATGCAGCTTCCAGAAATCTGGTAGCTTTTACGATCTGGACAGGAAATAGAGACATCCCTTCTGAGGAAGACCCTACCCAAGAGAAAAGGCCTGTAGCTACTGTCCCCCAATGAAATAGCTTATCCTCCACCAGATAATTCCACAGTAAAACCTACCGAAGAGCGAGACACCTGCTATACACACACACTGTTCCCAAGCAGAGAGCGCTCCCTCCCAGCCTCCAGCATGGGAGCCGTCCTGTGCAGATGGGGAGCCAAGGGGTAGAGTTAAGAGCTCAAGCTTTGGAGTCTTTGTGTTAAAACATCTAAAAAGCCGGAGTGGTAGTAAAAGAAAAGCATTGACTCTGTAGCCAGAGCTAAGCTTGCACTCCAGTCACGCCACTTCCTGTCTGCACGGTTTTATGCAAGTGACTTACCCTCCCTGAATCCCAGGAGCTGTCTACTCCAAAATGGGCCTGACCACTCCCACCTCACAGAGTTGCTAGGGAAGTGTCACGAAAGGACCCCTGCAGAATGACAGACAGTGTCTGCCAGCACGCGGGAACGCTCCCCTTCCTGAGTCCCACCTCCCACTCCCATACGGCGTGCAGGTCTTCCAGGGAGACCCTTCCAGGTCTCCTGAGATTTGTTTCATTTCCTGCATGTCTCAGGCTATGGACCCAGAAGGGTTCCTGAGAGGCACCTTCACCTCCTCTCTCACCAGTTCAAGAACGGAGATGACACAGGTTTGCATCAACCAGAAAGTCAGCTTTATTAGCCCACCACCAGCAGAGGGGAGGGGAGACAGCTGGGAACCGCGCCGGGAGAGCAGGGTCCTGACTCGGGCCTTCAGGAGGTGAGGCCGGCGGGAGGACAGGAGGCTCTGGCAGAGGCAGCTCAGTGCTTGGAGCTCTGGCCCTGGCTGAAGCTGGACGAGCCCTGCTCCTTGAGGATGGGCCGGGTCTGGTGGCCGGAAGAGGATGAGGAGGAGGTGTAGACTGTTGGAGAGACAGGAGGTGAGAAGGGCTATGGGAGCTAAGCAGGCTCCAGGGCAGGGGGACGGGAGGGCCAGGGTCTCTGGGTAGAAGGGCCTGGCCCCTACCCCCCAGAACGCCCAGAGGGGCTGCAGGGCCTGGGGGCCTTGGGAGCCTTACCTTCCCGGGAAGAATACGACTGGCCGGACGTGTGCTGGGACGGGAGGCTGTAGGAGAGGAAAGGTGGGGCAGTTAGATGAGCTGGGAGAAGCGGGGGCTGAGGGTCTGGGAGGTAGGACTGGGCCCCCTACTCACTGGGCGTCCTCGCCCTCCAGCAGGCGGCGGTAGGTGGCGATCTCCTGCTCCAGCCGCGTCTTCACGTCCAGCAGGATCTTGTACTCCTGGCTCTGCTGCTCCATCTCGCAGCGCAGCTGTGCCAGCTGCTCCTCCACGCTGTCGATCAGCCCCTGGATCTGGGACAGCTGCAAGCAGTAGCGGCCTTTGGTCTCCTCCAGGCTGTTCTCCAGGGATGCTTTCTGCAGGTGAGAAAGAGAGAAAAAGAGTCAATGAAGGCGGTCACTCCTGTCCCTCAGGGTCTCTGGGCATGTTTCCTGAGAGGTGCATGGATTTTTGACCCCAGCTGGGGTATTGATGGGTCAGACAATATGGAAGAAATTTATTCCACCATTCTGAACCTTAATTTCTCCATCTATATAATGGGTACAATGAGCCCTCCAGCCCCACTCCTGGGAAAAGAAAGGCAGAGCTGGATTGGGGCAGTGTTGGAGGCTGGTGGCCATTACTGCGAGGTGGGGGCTGCAGCTGGGCCGAGTCCTCCGTACCATGCTGAGCTGGGACTGCAGCTCGATCTCCAGGCTCTGGAACACCCTCCGGAGCTCAGTCACTTCGCTGCGGCCGCTTTGTATCAGTTCACTGTTAGAGGCCACTTCTTTGTTCAGCTCCTCGGTCTGAGATAGGACAGAAGAGCAGAAGGTGTGAGGCGCTCTGGTGGCCCCCGGCTGGGAAGTCCTGCGGGAGGGCTGAGGGCCCGAGCCCCACCTTGCTCAGGAACCAGGCCTCAGCGTCTCTGCGGTTCTTCTCTGCCATCTGCTCGTACTGGTCACGCATCTCGTTCAGGATGCGGCTCAGGTCCACACCGGGTGCTGCGTCCATCTCCACGTTGACGTCCCCACCGGTCTGACCCCGCAGGGCAAGCATCTCCTAGGAAAGGACAGCAGGAAGCGGTCAGCTCAGCTGACTCCTCTCCCAGTCCTGGGTGGGTCTGACAAGCCCACCTCCCACCCCCAAAGCCAGCAGCGCGCTCACCTCCTCGTGGTTCTTCCTCAGGTAGGCCAGCTCCTCCTTCAGGCTCTCAATCTGCATCTCCAGGTCGGTCCTGGCCAGGGTCAGCTCGTCCAGCACGCGGCGCAGGCCGTTGATGTCGGCCTCCACGCTCTGGCGCAGGGCCAGCTCGTGCTCGTACCTGGCAGGACAGAGGTCAGAGCCTCAGGCTCCATCCCTGAAGATTCTGAGCCCCAAGGTCTGCTGGCCCTGCTGGACAGACAGCCCCACTCTCTGCCCTCTGCCCTCTGCCTTCTGTTCTCTGCCCTCTGCCCTCAGCCCACCACGCTGGCTGCTCACTTGGTCCTGAAGTCATCGGCCGCCAGCCTGGCGTTGTCGATCTGCAGAATGGGCTGTGCATTCTCGACAGTGGCTGCAATGATCTGGATGGGGATGGAGGACAGCGGCCCTGATCAGCCAGCGTCCCTGCTGCTTCAGGGTGAAGGGCAGAGAGGGGCAAAAGGAACCTCCCCAAACACAGGGGTCTCCTGCTGGCAGGCAGGCCCTGTGCTCCCCCAGCCAGGTTGGAATGCCTTCTCCCAGCTCGGGGTGTGTGGGGCGGCTCCCACATCCCTGACCACCCCTCGCTCTGGGCCCAAGGCTGAGAAGCTGAGTGCGCAGCGCCAAGAACCCTTGCAGGGAGCAGGAGATTCAGGGCTCCATCCCCAGCTCAGACACAGAGATGCTGAAAAGGAAGCTTCTGCCCTCTTCTCTGGGTAACCCTGGCCACTCCCCCAAGGTGCCTCAGTCTCCCTAATTATAAAATGAAATTGCTGGAAAAAGGTTTCCTAAGGGCCACTGCAGTCCTGGCCTCTCTCAGTACTCCATGTACCAGTGCCACCTACCTTGTTCCTCAGGTCCTCAATGGTCCTGAAGTAGGGGCTGTAGTCTTTGGCCTCACTGGGCTGCTGCCGCTGGTACCAGTCACGGATTTTCACCTCCAGGTCAGTGTTGGCCTCCTCCAGGGCGCGCACCTTGTCCAGGTAGGAGGCCAGGCGGTCGTTGAGGTTCTGCATGGTGATCTTCTCATTGCCGGAGAGGAGGCCACCATCGCCACCACCAAAACCAGCACCAAAGCCACCACCAAAGCCAGCACCAAGGCCACCACCATATCCTCCACCGAAGCCGCTACCGAGGGTCCCCCCAAAGCTGCTGCTGCTGCTGAAGCCACCACCATAGCTGCCCCCCAGCCCGCAGGCTCCCCCGGAGGAGAAGCGGGAGGAGGAGACAGACAGGCCCCCGTAGGCGCTGGGGGCCCGGCAGGACCCTCCGGTCAGGACGGAGGAGATGCGGCTGGAGCCACCACCGATGCCACAGGAGCCCTTCATGGAGCCGGAGGAGGTGAACTGGCGGCTGCAGGTGGTCATGGTGCCAAGGAGGGAGGCGAGCGAGCGAGCGAGCTGGCAGAGAGAAGAGAAAGGTGCTCAGGGAGGCTGAGAGTGCTGCGGCTGCCTCATACCCGGCAACATTTATATGCATCTGGGGAAGGTGGGGCCCTCGGATTTCATCACTCCAGGTCCTGCCTGGCTCCCACTCTGGGTTGTTCAGCCCAGGGTCGACTCACTCTGCTGGGTGCCGGCTCGGAGTTCCCACCCAGCTCTGGGGGTGTGGGGCCCCGAGAAAAACACACAAACGCGAGTTGTCGTGACTCAGGCTGGGTGCTGGGAATCCGACTCCCGTTCCCGGAGCCCGAGGGGCCAGCAGGGCCTTGGCAAGGGCGGCATTGTGGCGGCTGCGTCCCCAGGCAGTGACTCAGCCCATCGGAAGGACTCCCTGCCCCATGGTGACAGCCTTGGCTGAAAGAGACCTCAGGGATGCCATCCTGGCTGTCTGGGGATGCAGCTTTGGGGATCCTACAGTCCTGGCTCTGGGCAGGAGCTGGATTCATGGCTCCACTCTGTTTTGTGGCTGCGTGGCCTGAGGGCTGTCACCTCTGCTCTCGGGGCCTGTTTCCCCTCAGCAATGACAAGCCTGGACTGGGCGACTGCAGAGTCCTTTCTAGTTCCAAAAATCTTACCACCCTCTCTCCCCTGTTGGATCTAATCCCAGTTCCAGAGACAGCCTTGAGCCAGCAGGATTCCAGAAGTGTGTGCACCTGGAAACAGCAGGTTCTGTGGAGCCAGACAGGTGGCAGCTGGTCCCTGCTCTGCCCCTTACAGCTGCACAGCACAGGCAGGCCCTTTAGTCCCCCTGGTCTTTGGTGTTCTCATCTGTAAAAGGGGACGACACACCACCATCCACAAGGAAACATGCAGGAAGGACCCCATTGGCCCTTCACCCATGGCCAGCCCTGCGCCTCAGCCTCCCCCCCTTCCCTTCCAGCCACCTGCTGCTCATGCCCACTGCCACACTCTGGCGCACCCCCCATGCCCCACACTCCCACCTGAGGGGCACCCACCCCACACCGGCTCCTCCTCTCCCTGCTGCCCTCTCCTAATCACAGGCACCCACCTGTAGGCCCATGGAAGGGAGCCCCATCCTGCCACTACTGCCACGTGTGACCCCTGACCCTGCCACGGGCCTCAGAGTACCTGCATGGAAACGGTCCTATCTGGGGATCAGTTTCTAGCAGTTTCCTCTCATGTGTCCACAGATTCCAGGTAGGGCCCAGCAGCTTCACTCGTGCAGTTATCGGGGGGCATAAGACCGGTCACCTGCCTATTCAGGCACAGCACAGAGTACCTGATGCATGTCACATGGTTCTGTGAGGGGGGTGTAGGGGCCACCGGTCCCCAGAGGAGGGAGCTGGGACGCAGGGACGGGTAAGTGGGCTTCCCAAGACAGCAGTCAATGTGGGGGTGGGATGTGCACCCCAGTCTGCCTGCTGCCCCAGCCCCTCCCCTTCCACCAACGTACTACTCTCTCTGCACATCTCAAATTTACATCATTTTCTTGATCCTAGAGTTAATGCTGTAGGTGAGTAGGACAGAGGGGGAACCAGAGAGAGGCAGTGATTCACCCCAAGTCACTTGGCTCTAAGCTGCTGAGCCAGGGCTAGAACCAGCCCTCCCGGGCGCCCGCATTGCCTCATAGGCAGGGCCCGGTATCCCTGCTCTCACCCACCTCCCCCCAGCGGCCTGCACGGGCCTGCCCACGGAGGGCGTGGCCAGGGCCTGAGGGCTTGGTCCATCACCGAGGGCTGGAGGGCGGATTGAGGTCTGGGGACCCAGACAGAGGCCTCCTTGGGGTCCTGGGGTGACCCACGGCACTGGCCACTGTCCTTGGTCCATCGTGCCTCTGTGCAGGTGCGGGGAGCCCAGAGAGGGCTGGCCTCGGCCTGAGCTGCACTGGGGTAGGTAATTCCCTGTCTCAGCAGAACCAGGGCTTTGTTGCACATCTCCTCCCGTCAGTCTCAGCCCAGAGGCAAGAGCAGAGCGGATGTGCACACACCTTCGGGCCCAGACCCGAGAGAGAGAACCCTGTACTCCCCACTCTGACCCCAAAGTGGGCAAAGGGGACCCCAGAATCTTGGACACCCAGGTGTCAGGGTGGGCCTGGAATTCAGGTCCAATCACAGACCCATTACCCTCAGAACCTAAAATGGCCTTCAAGGCCACCCAGCCCTAACCAGGGAGTGTGAGCACCTTGCCTGAGGTTAAACAGCACGGAGGTGAAGAGCAGAGACTGGACCAGGCTCTGGCTACCAAGCCGAGGTTCGCGACGGCTCTCACAGTGGAGGCTGCGGAACTCTTCACTCTCTGTCCCCAGCGCACGCACGCGTGCGCACGCACACACACACACACACAGACACACATGCACACACACTAACACACACACAGACACATACGTCTCCTTTCCAGTTGGCTCACTGCCCAGCCCTGCCCCCCACTCCAGGATCACACACAGGTCCAAGATCTGGGGACCTGCGTGGGCTGAGAAGCTGCAGGAAGTTGCCGACCAACTCATCAAACTGCTCAGCCAGGTCGGTGGATCACACGCCCACCGCATGCCCCCCTCTCAGGGCTGGGGCAGGGAAGGGAGATGATGACATAGCCTCCGACCTTAAAAGAACTTATCGTTTGATCCTGGAGAGAAAACAGGGGCAGGAGAACACAGCACCTCACAGCAAGCAGCCCTGGGGAGCTGGGCCATGTCGCACCCCAAAGCAGAAGGCGGCTGGGGTACGCGTCGCCCCTGTGAGCCTCAGCAGGAGAGGAGGGGGCTGCCCTCCTAGCCCAGTCCTCTGAAGGGTCCTAGCAGGGCCTAGGAGTATCTGAGTTGGCAGAGAAGGAGCAGGGGCGTTTGCTCCCCACCAGCGATGTACATCTGCCCCCAGGTCAGGACTGCGAAGCCTGGTGGGCACAGAGCATGGGGGCCCCCTCCAGGCAGTGATTCCTCCCCCACCCACCTCCTTCTGCCCTCCTTGGCCTGCCCATGTCACACCTGAGGCAGCCGGGAAGCTCCATTGGCCAATGCCACTCCTCAGCTTGCAGGGATTTGCAACCTGGCTGGTCATCATAGTCCCCAAGTAGCTCCCGGCCCTGCTCCAACCCCTGCATCGGCACCGCCCGGGACATGCCTGCTCGTGGGGCTGTTTTATAATATAAGCGCCGCAGCAGATACCCAGTCTGGAAAGGCAGGAGGCAGCCCAGGGTGCTGGGGTGGGTTGCAGGGAGGCTGAGGGGGCTGCTGCAGGGCCCCTGACCCCAGGGGACAGGCCAGAGCCACAGGTTTCAGGGCAGCAGGAAAGAGTGGAGCCCCATTGAGCCAGGACAGAGCAGCCTGGAGTCAAGCAAGCAGGGGTGAGACAGGCCCCTGAGTGGGTGAGCCATGCAGCGTCTCTGAGCCTCAGTTTCCTTCTCTGGGAACTGAAAACAACACTACCTCCCAGGCATGTTAGAGGATTTGAGGTGAGATAAATAAAGCACCTGGCACAGACTGGTGGCTATCCTTACATTTATTCAGCAGTGTTTATAAAGCACCTACTATGTGCCAGGCACTGTGCTGGGCACTCAGACTCAAAGAACAAGACACAGAAGCCCTCAAAACATACAGTCCGGTGGGAGACAGGATGGTAAAAACCATCCCCGCACCACGTGGCCAGGCCGTGACGGGCAAGGGGCCGCAGGGAAACAGAGGAGGCAGGTCCCTGGGGAGGAACAAACCTCCCGGTCCAGGCTCTGGCCCTGTGACTGGTCCCAGGGTCTGGGGAATCTGTGAGTACCAGGCCCGCCTTAGAGGCTCCTCTCCCCTCCAGCATGTTTGGGGTACACATCACCCGCTCTGAGCCTCAGCAGGAGAGGAAGGGGCTGCCCTCCTAGCCCAGTCCTCTGAAGGGTCCCAGCAGGGCCTCGGAGTATCGGAGTATCTGTCACAGCCCTTCACAGTGGTCTGCGCAAACAGCGGGCCCTCCAGGGGGACCGTGGCTCTGCCGAGCTCGGTTACAGCCTCCGCCCTGTGCCTGGCGCCAGAACTGCCCTGACTCTGGTCCCTCTGTGGCCCTCAACTCCCCAAAGCCTGGACGGCACAAGAGACCCACACTGCAGAAGGGCTGAGGGAGTATTGTCGGAGCTGCCACTGTGCCCTGCTCACCACCCTAGACTGGGGGCTCCCTCAGGTCGCCTTGGGGTGGGCGCTGTCCCTCTGGGTCAGGGCCGGTGTCTCCTCCCTCCCCTGGACTCAGCGCAGCCCCAGGCACAGAGTGAAGCAACGCCATGGACAGAGTATCACCCCCCACATCCATCTCCCCGCAGGAAACGCTGCCAGGCCAGCGCTGCCAGGATGTCCCAGGGACCAGCTCTTCCTGCCACAGGCCTGGCCTGGGAATCAGGCGCATGTGTCCGTCATATGACAGCAGTGTGGTGGCCCCAAGGGCAGCCACAGACCTGCAGCTTCTGCCTCACTGACAGAGGGGGGCGTGTGAAACATTCTGTGCAGGGGCAGAGTGGGCGTGGACGGACCGTGAGTCCCTCCGTGGAGTCCCAGAGCCGGGCCCCCAGTCTGGCCCCAGGCACATGTCCCCAGCAGCCTGGGCCTGCGTGGGGTGCCCGGACAAAGCAGCCAAAGTCCTCACACCATCCCCAGGGAACCCCACCAGCAGGGCAGCCACTGCCTCTCCCTGCTCGCTCCCAGCACACCTGGTGCTCCCCACACACCCAGTGGGGAGGGGCTTCTTCCCCAGCAGGGGGGCACGGTCGGGGGCAGTCTCCGGTCCTCCCCACACTCTGACCCCCCTTCACTCGCCCCGTCAGTGAGGGTAGACCTGAGACTACAGGAGGGCTGGGTGGGGCAGGGGTGGGGCTCGGCTCCTCTCCCCAGCACGGAGTGGGGTCCACCCCTCCCATGCCTTGCCCCACTACTGACACGCCGGGCTCTGACAAGGGCTGAGTCACACTCCTCGTGGAGCCTCAGTGTCCCCATCCACACAATGGGGGCCTCTCCCCAGACCCTCCCGCTTCCTGGACTGTTGTTCAGGTGACATCACACGCCGGGATGAGCCAACCGCAGCCCAGGGCTGGTTCTTCTGGTTGTGGCCGGAAGTGCGGTGGGACTGGTGGGAACCGAGCCTCCCTCCCGCCCTCCGTCGGTGTCCGCACAGTCTTGGCTGCCAGGCAGCTGGGAGGCGCCCAGGCTCTGAGGGAGCGGAGCCCACCTTTGCTTGCAGTCCTGCAGTCGCCACTGTGGCACGAGCCCCCGTCCCCAGGCGGTCCTGAGACTCACCGTCGTCGGTGGCACCTAGCTGTGGCCCCTCTCACCCTGCTTTTAACCTGCAGCTTCTGAGGTCAGAGTCCCCACATCCCAGCCATCAGTGCTGCTGCCCCCACTGCTCATCCCCAGTCCCCCACCACGCCAGGCTCAGGGGGCTCTGGCCACTCCTGCCCCGGCACCGCCAGGACCTGCCCCCAGCCTCCAGGCACCAGGAGAGAGAGGGCGAGTGGGCGCCCAGGGCTGAGTCTGCAGCAGCAGAGACAACCTGGCCAGCAGTGAAGGAGTGGGGACACTGTCCTCCGTTTAACCCCTTCCGCCCACCCCCTCCTTAAAGAAAACCCAGAAGGCAGGCCACCCCACCACTCAGTGATTTCCGGATTTACTCGAAGGAAGACTTCCAGGTGTGGGAACAGCGTCCCAACTCACTGTTCCCCACAGCTCCCCTTGCCCACCACCAGAATGAAACGGGCTGGCCCTCGGAGGGTCCTGGGAGTGGCTGGGCAGACTGCCCCTTCCCCTCCCCAGGATGCACTGCTCCGTGGAACCCCCACCCTGCCCCATCCTGGGTTGTAGTTGATCATTTGAGGAAACATCCCTGAGAGAGGCCCCCCTTTCTCCTGCACCTGCCTGGGGTCCACAGCCTTCCCTGGAAGCAGGGCATCCTGCTGACGTTCCTGGGGTGGGGGCAATGGGAGCCCCTCCTCAGGGGTTTCCTGAGGCTCACACAGGAGCCCGGGCCCTAACCACCCACCTGGGTCCCCACCAACCCTCCCTGTGTGCCTATCCCAGCCCCCGTCCACCCCTGCCCCTCTGGGGGAAGGCCCCGCCCACAGGACCAGGAGGAGCAGTTGACTGGGTGAGTCATCCCTTGGGATTCGGGCACCTGAGATCCTGAGATCTTCTCATCCATTTATGGATAAGAAAGCGAGGCTCAGGGAGGGGAAGTGACTGCCTGCAGTGATGGAGCTGCTTACGGGGCAAGCAGAGACCACCCAGGACCACCCTGCGCCAGCTCCACCTGGGCCTGCACAGCCTGGACCACCCTGCAGGATCACCAGCCCTTGGGAGATGCAAACGCCCCCCCACAAGTTCTCCCCAGACTTGCTCTTTACCCTGGTCTAAGCTGACCCCTGACCTCCAAGCCGATGACACTGGGTGTCCAAGCACCATTGCCCCTCACCCCACTCCTTCCCAGCCCACCCATTGGTCACTAGCACCCATGCAGTGGCCAGGACAAGGACACGTTCCACATGTGAGTCAACAAGCTTTATTGGTGCGAGGGAGGGGAGCATAAGGAAAGGACCAAAGCAGGGGCTGGGGCTGGAGAGGCTGGAGGCTGCAGGGCAGATGGGGCGGCTGCCTCCCTGCCTCCTGGGGGGCTGGCCAGGAGGAGCCAAGTCCCTAGCGGGGGCTCTGGTGGACCTCCTCCCGTGAGGAGATGACCCTGCCGTCCTGGACCTCTTCCACAATGGTGCGCACCTGGCGGGTGGTCACGGCTGCAGGAGAAGCAGACACTTGGAGGTGGGCAGGGGCTAAGACGTCCTTGCTCAGCCCCCAGCCCCTCTGAAGAGGAGCCGGCTCTCTTTCCAGTCTGCTCCCCGCTGCTGTGAATGCCTCCCCTGGCCCCTCAGATCACACTGCACACCTGTCTCTCCTGCCCTTGCCGCTGCCTCCCTTCCATCCCATCCCTCTGCCAGTGTCCTTGTGTGATGGATTATTTGATTCTGACCCACTGTGTCCCTCAGCAAGAAAGGAGCCATGTAGACTGGGTGAAATCTATATGAAATCTGTCTCCATTCCTCTACAGTCTCCAGGGCATGGACAATGCTCGCATCTCCCCATCTGAGGGGACCTCCAAGACAAAACCCAGGTCCCCATCACCCCCACTAGACTAGGAACCCCAGGGCTAGGATCACATCTTCCCCATCAGACTGGGACCTGGGATCTGACCACGTCAGGCTAGAGCCCCCAGAGATAGGACTGCTTTTGCTCATCCGAAGGGTCTCAAGAGCCAAGATCACGAGACCATGGCCCTATCTCCCCACCAGATGAGACCCAGAGCTGGGACCCTGCCTGCGGTCAGACTAGGATCTCCAAGGTAAGGACCAGTTCTCTGCCCTGCCCCATCAGACCAGACAGATCTCTCTCATTTGATCCTTCTCCTGAATGTGTCCCTTCCCCCGTCCCTCCTGAGGGCCAGCCGTCATGCCCTGGAGCTCCCTGGGGACCGTGCCCCAGCAGTGTGCAGACGGCTGCCTGGCTTATGCACCCCACTCCCAGCCCAGCCCTCAGCCACCGAGATGCTTACGTTCTTTTGGCTTGTATTGAGTCAGGCTGCAAACAAACAGAGAGAAGATTAGATGTGAGTCTGAGAGCCCCATCCCCGCCCCAGAGGCCCCCCTGGCCCTGGCCCGGGGCGCCCCCCACTCACTGGGCGTCCTCGCCCTCCAGCAGGCGGCGGTAGGTGGCGATCTCCTGCTCCAGCCGCGTCTTCACGTCCAGCAGGATCTTGTACTCCTGGTTCTGCTGCTCCATCTCGCAGCGCAGCTGCGCCAGCTGCTCCTCCACGCTGCCGATCAGCCCCTGGATCTGGGACAGCTGCACGCAGTAGCGATTCTCTGTCTCTGCCAGGCTGCCCTCCAGGGATGCTTTCTGCAAGAGGGCGGGAGGACCGGGGCAGGGGGGTCAGTGGGGGTGGTCGATGCCCCCTTCCCAGCCCTGGGCCCACCCCCATGCCTGGCAGTGCTTCTACCATGCTGAGCTGGGACTGCAGCTCAATCTCCAAGGCCTGCACCGTGCGCCGGAGCTCAGAGATCTCGCTCTTGCCACTCTGCACCAGCTCACTGTTGGTGGCCACCTCGCGGTTCAGCTCCTCTGTCTGCAGACAGGACACAGGACACAGCAGCGTGAGCCTGGATGCCTTCCCCACGTCAGGCCTCCCCCGAAATCTGACAGTGGGAAGGGATGCCTTCTCACCAGCTTCCCACTTTCCAGAGCCCAGAAACAAGCCCTTTGAAATGCTACATTTGTGTGGTTAATCCCTGCAAGTGGGAACACAGAACAGGAAACCTAAGAACCAGCAGGGCACGTAGCCCAGCCCTGGTGCTGGTTCCCAACTTAGTGAGGGAGAGATGAGGACTCCCAGGGTCTTTACTCTCTCCCCACCTCCACACCCACCCCCAGGGTCCGTGTTAGCTAAGATGCAATGGGTGACCCTATGCCCAGGGGTCCATGCAACTTGCTGAGGATGGGCCCCCCCAGGACACCAGGCGGTGGGCTTACTATCAGGGCTCAGGCCCCTGAACCCCAGCCCCTATAAAAGGCTCTGGTCTGCAGCAGCCCTCACCTTGCTGAAGAACCAGTCCTCAGCGTCCTTGCGGTTCTTTTCTGCCATCTTCTCGTACTGGTCACGCATCTCGGACAGGATGCGGCTCAGGTCCACGCCGGGGGCAGCATCCATCTCCACGTTGATCTCACCACCCACCTGGCCTCGCAGGGCGTTCATCTCCTGGAAGAGGGGATGTGGGTGTGGGCATCTGGGCCCGTCCTGGCCTCCCATGCCCAAGCTTTCCCACACAAGGGGTCCCCCGCCCCTCCCAAGGACCCCTCCTTTGTTCTGCCTGCGCTCTACCCTCTGACCCTCCCAGTGACTTTTGATCATCTGCTCTGCGCAGGCCCCGCCTCCACCATCACACTGTGTCGCCCCCATTAGACTGAGGGCTCTCCAAAGAGAAATTTTAATTCTTAGGCCTATGCCCCCCAAATTTCCCCTCTAACTTCCAAACTTCCATGGGGGGGTCCAGATTTGAGGGTTTGAACTGGGCCGAAGAGGAGACGTCCTCGTTTATCCCCTGTCCTCGTGAGGGAGGCCAGGGCAGGCAGGGGAAGACCCTGTGAGCCCCCAGGAGGTTCCCTGGCACAGGGAAGCAGTGTGGTACAGGACGAGGCTGCCCTGCCTGCTGGCTCCAGACCCCCGGGACCAGCGCTCTGCAGCCAGGGCCGCCCTGCAAGGTGACTGACCCGGCACACCTGCTCTGCAATCTCCCACGGCCTCGGTCGTGACCCAGCCCCAGGGCTCTGCCACCCACTCCTCAGCCTCTTTGGCCTGCTGCCCCAGCCACCTCACCTCCTCGTGGTTCTTCCGGAGGTAGAGCAGCTCCTCCTTGAGGTTCTCGATCTGCATCTCCAGGTCGGCTCTGGCCAGGGTCAGCTCGTCCAGCACCCGGCGCAGGCCATTGATGTCGGCCTCCACGCTCAGACGCAGGGCCTGCTCCGTCTCAAACCTGCCGCGGCAACCAGGACTTTCAGTCCAGGCTCCTTGGACTTGTAGGTCCTGGTCCCAGCCCCTCCCCCATCCTCACTTTGCCAGGCTCTAAGGACTTGGGAGGGACAATGAAAGGCTGGAGTGGAAACACATGCCAGCTCTGGGGGCCTGGGGCCATCACAAGGCAAGACCCCATGCCAACCCGGCTTCCTTATGTCTCTCCTCTCTGCCTCCTGCCTCCCTCCCTCTCCTCTACCACCTGCCGAGCCCAGAGCCCAGCAAACTTCAGAATTTGCTGCATTTGCTGCATCCTAGACTAAGGGGTGGGCTCCGAGCAGCTCCTAGGACTGCCCCAACCCCACCTCCTGGGCCTTGGCACAAGCAACCGAGGGGTCCTGGGGTAGGGAGGGGAGCCCCAAGCTCCTCCCCGACCTTGCCCAGGCCGCCCCAGCCACTGGCCAGGACTCACTTGGTGCGGAAGTCATCAGCAGCCAGACGGGCATTGTCGATCTGCAGCACGATGTTGGCATTGTCCACGGAGGCCGTGAGGATCTGGGGACACGGAAGAGTAACCAGGTCAGGGGTGGGGGTGACTCAGCCCAGTTCAGGGTTAGCAGACAGCCCTCCCTGCCTGGGGCCATGATGTGCCGCCTTCTCTGGAAGCCTCTCTTCCCGCCCAGCCTCTCCCCTACGCTGTGCTGTGCTGTTGGCAGAGGCAGGGCAAGCAGGAGTCTGATGGGCTGAAACTCGCCACCCCCACGCCAGGCTCAGTCTTGAAGGAGAGGAGGCAGCCGGCTGGGATTGTGGGAGAGCCAGGGAGGGATGGGGGAATGTCCCCCAGGCAGAAGCTGTCCCAGAACTCCAGGAAGAGGGGATGTGGGCACCCCCCTCATTTTACAGTGGGCAAGAGGGTGTCCCAGAGAGGCTCCCCCAAAGGAGGCTAAAGGAGCCCTCACCAAATCAGAAGTCACAGCCACTCCTAGGCCCTAAGCCCTGGCTCCAATGACAGCCCCGCCCCTGGGCTTGCTGAGCCCACCTTGAGGGGCAGCAGGAGGGAAGGAGAAGCCAGAGACATCCCCAAATAAGGCACACAAGAGGCCTTCCCCTCCTGAGGTCCCACCCCCTCCTCCTCCCTCCTCTCCCAGCAGGTGCCATTGGACGCTCACTCGGACCCCTGCCCCACCATCGCCCAGACCCCTCCTGCTGACACCTGCTCCTCAGGCCCAGCCTGCCACATGCGTCCTCTCTTATCCCACAGACACACAAGGTGGCAAGAAGCTCCATGATGAAGAAACTGAGGCTCCAAGGGCCCCACAAGGCCCATTTGTCCCTGGCCTGACCTGCTGCCCCCCAAAAAGGAAGAATGGACCCCATAAGGTCTCGAGACAGGCTCCCAGAAGTCAAGCCAAAGCCAAGCTGCCCTGGGCTCCCTGAGGCCCCCTGCAGCCCCCAGGCAGCCCCCAGGCTAGACTCCAGGCCTTCTTCCAGGGCAGGAGATGGGGGAGGACAAGTCCTGTCCCCCAGTGGGCCTCCCCCAAGCCTACCTTGTTCTGCAGGTCCTCGATGGTCTTATAGTACTGGCTGTAGTCCCGGGCAGGCCCTGGCGCCTGCTTCTTGTACCAGTCTCGGATCTTCACCTCCAGCTCGGTGTTGGCCTCCTCTAGGGCGCGCACCTTGTCCAGGTAGGAGGCCAGGCGGTCGTTGAGGTTCTGCATGGTGGCCTTCTCATTGCCCGCCAGCAGCCCGTCAGCTCCCCCAAAGCTGCTGCCATAGCCACCACCAGAGCCGAAGCTGTAGCAGCTGGAGTAGCCGCTGCCCCCGAGGGCACTGCCCAGGCCGCTGGCAGAGCCCAGCCTGCAAGAGCCGGCGCCCAGGCCGCCAGACAGCCGGCAGGAGGTGCGGGATGAGCCACCCCCCAGGCCGGAGGAGCCCTTGATGGAGCTGGAGGAGGTGAACTGGCGGACGGTGGTGGTCATGGTGGCGGCAGTGGGCAGCAGGCACAAGCGAGAGGGCTCAAGAGGAGGAGAGAGGCCCCAAGGTGCACACGGTGCCGGGGCTCGCCCGCCTCTTTTATAGGCCAGCAAGTGGGCGTAGCGATTACAACAGGCTCACGGCTCTGTTTCCATTCCCCTGGGCTTTCATCACCACTGGCCGCCTGCCAGCTCCCAGGTGGCGGGGGCCCCCTCCCCTCCCATCATCAGGGCTCTGCCTCATTTCTCCGAACCCCCATGCTGGTGTCTGCGTCTGTGCGTGCGTGTCTCTGGTCTCAGGCCCGTCACCTGTGATTCAGGCAGGCCCTCCAGCTACGCTTTCCCATGACCTAATACGGAGAAGAGGAGAGGGCAGGATGTCACCGTCACCGGGCCCTCCCACGCAGCTGCCACCCCAGCCTGCCCACCTTGACCCTGTGTCTGGTGGGGAAATGGATCGGGGAGTCAGACAGCCCCCCAAGATTGCTGTGCTCCCCACACAGGGGGCTGAGCCCGGGCTGGGGACTGGGGACTGGGGAGCAAGAGGACCAAGAGCCTGCCCTGCTTTGGAAACAAACCGGACTGAACCCACCGGGCCCACCTCACAGCTCAGGACCGCTGGCAAAACTCGGATTACCAGCCCACGTCACAGACGAGGAAACTGGGGCCTCGGAAGGGATGCAGGGTCCACATTGCCCTGCCTAATGCCAGGGCTGGGCTGGCAGAGCCACATCCTTCCTCCTCACTGTGCCACGGCAGCCATCCCCCAGGAACCCGGCCACACGGGCCCCCTTCGGCAGAGCCCAACACCCAGGCATGTACTGCAGGGGCCACAGGTCCAGCTGGCCAGTGTCTCACTCTGCCCCACCCCTAGAGGCCAGAGCTGGCCCAGCCTCCTCCTCTAAGCCTTTCCCTTCCTCTCTGTCCAGGTGGGGGTCCCGTGCTCGGGGGCAAAGAGCTCAGCCGTAGGGGGGAAGTGGCAGGCTGTGGGGGGAGCGTGGCGCTACGAGGGGATCTAAACCAACAATGACGGGGATGCCACCTTCCATCATCCCCACCCCTCTCTGCCCCAAGAGGCCCCAGGGTGAGGTGAGGGGCATCTGTCTCAGGTCCCAGCCCACTGGGACCCTAAAGTATGCTGCCCCAGAAGAGGCTCATCCTGAGACCCCAGCCAGCCCTCTGCCCCCAGACTCCCTGAGATATGACTCCACGGGTGGCCCCGTGCCCACCCCACAGCCCCACCCTACCCTGGGACCCAGGGTCCCGACAGGCCAGTGGGGAGGAATGTGGTCGTGTTACAGACTACGGATGGCTTCCACCTCCCAGACAGGCCCAGACAGCTCGCCAGCAGCCGAGGGAGATTCCTCAATAGCCCAGAAGCTGCCAAGCCACCAAAGCAAACAGGACGCCCCCCACGCGCAAACACACGGTGGCCACCCCACCCCACACACACCCCACACACACCCCGAGCCGGGCAGAGCCGGTCTGGTTTCCTGGGCTGGCTGTGCCACTGCCGCCCCTCTCACCCATCGATGCCCAGATGGCTCCTTCAGAAAGCCCCCCAGCCCCTCTCCCTCTGCTCTGGAACCCGTCCTGGCTTCGGCGGGGAGCGCTGGTAACAGGTGTGGTCCCCAGGAAGTCGGTGGGGGGCCCTCCGGGGAACCGGCCCCAGGTAACAGAGACCCTGGGGCTGATTCTTAGAGACTTTCCCAGCATGGGGGGTTGCCCCTCCCTCCACCCTTGATCCTTCCGCCTCCTTCCCTCTCCTTCTGGGAGCCCCAGGCCTGGATGGAGTGGGCAGGACAGGTTGGCAGGTGACAAGTCGATACCAAACACTCAGTAAATTCTCCTCTTCTCCCAATCCCTCAGCCCACACTGCCCCAAGCCAATGACCAGACCAGAGCACAGAAGGCACTGAACTTCAGGCAAAGCTTTAACAGCAGTCACTGGGGCAAACCCAGGAGGCCTCCTCAGTGCAGGGGGCGGGGGGGGGGGTCTGCAGGAAGACACAGAAAGGCAGCAGCAGCTCGTGGACAGGGCCTCTCGGGCGTGGCAGTAGTGTGCTGGGGGCTGAAGTGATGGCTGCCCCCAGCCCCCAAGGTCGGGCTGTCACATGCAGAAAGGGGCCTCAGTGGGTGGAGCGGTGAACCTTCTCTTGAGAGGAGACCACCTAGCCGTCCTGGACTTCCTCCATGATGGTGCACACCTGGCAACTGGTCACCACAGCTGGACGAGGTGGAGGAGAGGGCACCTCAGGCAGGAGCCACCCAGCCTGTGGTTCCCCCAGTCCCCCACGCGGAAGGGTCCCCTCCTTTGGAGTCCACACAGCCCCTCCTTTGGGCAGGACAGGGCAGGCGCTAACCTTCCCAGGTGGGCTTCAAGGCCAGGGACAAGGAGTACTGCATGGCCAGGCTGCAGGGAGAGGGGGATCCATCAGCCCAGGGATGCTGGCCAGCCTGGCCCCTGGGAGCACTGCTGTGGGCAGCAGCTGGGGAGGCCCCAGGCAGAGGGGAGAGAGGGTTTCGCAAACTGGCAGGAAATCACAGCTGGGAGTGCAGTGCATGGAAACTAGCGCAGGCCCAAGGACCAAGAACCAAGGACACAGGCTCAGTGCAGCAAGAAAGGGGACAGTGCCACAGAAGGCCCCGTGGCACTTTGTGGCTGCTAACCAGGGAGTCACAAGGAGAAGCTGAGCAAGTGGTTTTTCCATATCCCAAAGGGCCCAACAAATAGACTCAATTAAAGCAGGAGAGACTGTGGTTAGACTATAAATGGACTTCGCCACTGTCAGGGAGCAAAAAGATGGAATGTGTGACTAAGAGACACTAGAACACTGTCATCCAGGGGCCTGATCAACCTTCCCAATTCCAAACCAGACCACCACCCACCTCGCTCCTCGGCCCATCCTGGCATCACCAGCCACACAGTCATCGCAACCAGAACCCAGGCCATCGCTATCCACTCCTTCCTGCGTTCACGCCACGCTTGCTGAGTCCTCACTGTGAGCCGTCCTCGCCCCCATGCTCAGGCATCCAGTCCTGCTGTTTACGCTACAACCTCTCTCCTGCCTACACCACTTCCTTTCCCTGCCCTCTGCCCCACACAGCAGGACTTCTCTGGCCTGACCCCCTGCTCCAGCCTCCTGCTGGGTCTCTCCAGCCCCACTCTGACCCCTCTGATCCATTTCTCCCCTCTGCAGCCAGCGTGAATATTCTAACATAGCTTGATGATCATCCCCCTCCTCTGCTCCAAATCCCTCCATGGCTCCCCATTGCCTATTTGTCTAGTCCAGATGCTTTAATTCGGCATTCGAGGCTCCTCAGCCCGACCCCAGCCTGCATTCTCAGTTTCACCTCCTGCCACCTCCGCAGATTCCTACAGTCACATCTCCTGGCCTTTGCCAGTGCTCAAATGCCACTGCCTGGGTGGCCAGGGCCCACCCCTGCAGGTGCCTGGGCACCCACGCGCCCACTCGCCCACTCGCTGGGCGCCCTCGCCCTCCGGCAGGCAGCGGCAGGTATCGATCTCCCGCTCCAGCCTGGTCCCGCAGCACCTGCTACTCGTGGTTCTGGTGGGCGCTCTCGTCACAGCGGAGCTCGCACAGCTCATGAGCCCCTGCAGCTGGGCCAGCTGGGCTCCGTAGCGTGTCTCCGTCTCTGCCAGGCTGCCCGGCAGCGACGCTTTCTGTGGACCAAGGGGTGGGTGGCACAGTGAGACAGCCCTGGGACCTTTCCCGCAGCAGAGCACTAGCCAGGCCCCTCCTGTGTGGGGTGGCGATGCTGCCAGCACAGTGGGAAGGTGACTGGGGCTGAGAGGGCCAGTCACGGGGTATAAAGAGACAGGCTGGCTGGGGAGCCTCTGGTTCTCCAAGCGGGGTGGTCTACGGGGCTGGGCCTGCCCCGGAGTGACAGTACAGGGCAGGAAGGGGACGCAGGCCCTACCATGCTCAGCTGGGACTGCAGCTCGGTCTCCAGGTTCTGCATGGAGCAGCGGGGCTCCACGATCTCTATCCTGCCACTCTGCAGGGCCTCAGTGTTGGTGGCCACCTTGCGGCTCAGCTCCTCTGTCTGGAAGGCAGGGTGGGCCACAGGGGCTTAAGGAGGCTTTCAGAGGCAGGGCAGAGGACAGGGGCTGCCCCTGAGCCCCTGCCTCCCAGAACTACCCCTCCAGCCCCTCCTGGCCTCTGTAGGGCCCCAAAGACATCTGCACACAGAGACCCTCTGCACCCACATGGAACTTGGCAGAATTCTCCTTGCTCTGCAGTCATTTGCATTTGTTACTGCCACTGAACTGCAACACCTCAAAGACAGTCACCGGGTTTTATTCTTTTTGTACCTGTTACTGTCGCTGGGACACTGTAGATGCTCAGTATGTGTTTACAGGAGTGTGAGTTGTGGATTCAGATACACACATCCTGCAAGCACCTGTGGCGGCAGAAGCCCTAGACCAGGCTTCGGGAGGCCTGGATCCATTCCCCAGTGGAGCGTTGTGTGAGCTTCAATCCTCTCTGAGCTCACATTTTACATCTGAAGCACAAGGGGCTGGTCCAACTGGTTCCCAGAGGTCCTTCCAGCTGGGACAGTGTTCCAGCCTGCAGCAGCACACAGCACATGTGCCCACACGTGTGCACAGCCGCTCGCACACGGCCACCCACCTTGCTGGAGAACCAGTCCTCGCATCCTCGCAGTTTTTCTCCACCAACTTCTCATGCTGGTCACACATCTCATTCAGGATGTGGCTCAGGTCGACGCCAGGGGTGGTGTCCACCTCCACGCCGATGTCCCCACCCACCTGGCCTCTCAGCGCATTCATTTCCTAGGCAGAGAGGATAGCAGGAGCTCGCCCAGGACCATCCTGGAGAGAGACCCTGGGGCTTGCCTTCTCTGCCTCTGGGAGACAGGTGCAGATGACAGACAGACAGACAGGCCAACAGCTCCTCACCCTGAAGGTGGAGGCAGATGTGGCCATGTCCCAAATGTGCAGGACTACGGATATCAATTCTCCCCAACACACGCTGTGACATGGGGGTGGGCTCCACCCATCCCCAACATGTGCTGAGGCCAGAGGGGAATGGCAGCTTCCAGCAGGGCCAGGCTGAGCGGGGGCAACCTCACTCACGCTG